TTCTGTGCAACCAGTTATTTGCAGGAGACAATGTATACCAGTAAACCTGAGAACTAGTCTGAGATTTCTCCCACAAACAAAAAAACTCTGTTTTTAGGAAACTCAGCAAAGGATTGATTCAAAGAAATGGTTTCCAGCTCTTCTCATATTAGGGGTCAAGGGCTTGTGTTCCAGTGATAGTGCTTTCCTAACAACAGGAGGCCCTGAGTTCAAACCCCAGTACTGCAAAAAATAAAAACAAAAACAAGCCAGTGGGCAGTCTTTTTTTTTTGGCGAAGAGTCTCATGGGAACTTTTCTGCTTGGGCTGGCTGTGAACTGTGATCTTCAGATCTCCGCTTCCTGAGTAGCAAGGATTGCTGGTATGAGTCATCGGTGCCAAGCCAATCTTTTTTTTTTTTTTTAAATCATTGCTGGGGATAGAATCAGAGGCTTCATATATTCCAGGCAAGCCTTCTACCACTGAACTACAGTCTCAGCCCAAGTGGCTTCATTCAAGTCCTTTGGGTCTGTAGAGGTCTAGAAGTTCACATGAAGTTGAATGTTTATAGGAAAGTGTCTGCAAGAGAATATTGAGTTTTCAATTTTCTGCCTCTGTCATTTTTCTACTAACATTGATAGGGGTATCTTGGCCTTTGTTTTGGGAATTCAGAGTAAAATTCAGTGTAATTTAGAGCATATTTTGCTGCCTGATTTAGAGAACTTGTAATACATTCAAAGTTTAGATCTTATAACTAAACCATAGATATCTTTGGCATTTCTTCTCCCATGCCTCAGTTTGCTTTTTGGACCTTAGGATTTTGGTATAAGTATCATTTTCAGTCCTACAATTCTTTCTCAACATACTAGTCCAAGACACAAAATTTAACCTTATTTCTAAACTGAGATCATTTTGTTAACTTAATGAGTTCACAGTATTTTACAATTTTTAAAAATTCCCAAGCACATTTTAAATAAGCTTCAGATTCAACTGCTATGCGTTAGTCAAGGTAACAAACGATATGGACAAATGTCAAGGAGATACCTCCTGTTTACTTTGATTTGTGGGACCTTTTCCGTAATGTTTTGATCCCTCTCCTCCACACTTGGCAGCTGTTGTCTACAGTTTGAGTCTGTTTAAGGGAGATAGTTGTTGCAGGATTAAGGGTGGGACTCAAATGGTAGAGGGCCTGTCTAGTTAGTGTACAGCTCTTGAGTTTAATCCCCTATACTGCTATAGAAAAGAGGAGGAAGAGGAGAGAGACAGAGAGAAGGAAAAATTAGGAAAAAGATCATTGTGACATTTCACAAGGGGAACCTAACTTAGAAGCAGGTCAGCTATCAGAAGTCTTCAGACTGGAGAGATTCTTGCAGGGAGTGGCCCTTTAATGTATCAGCTGAAGCCATCTGGTGGACACTCACTGCAGAAATGTTCCTTTTGAAGTGTTTTAACACAAGTCACTGAAGTTCACAGAAGCAAAGGCTTCTAGTGAGGTAACTGCCATAGCTTAACCTCATTTTGTCTTAACATATAACCTGAACAAGCACTCTGTAAACTCAGTATAGGTCATCTGAAGTCTCCCGTCCATACTTGCAGGAGAGTATTCCATTTTTTAAGTTCCTTTTGGAAACCTTTTTCCTGTGGAGTTTCTTAGTTTTTCCTTACCTTACCACATAAAGAGAAACTACGACTATCAGGACCATAGCCATTTGTTGAAGCATTTTGTGTTAAAAATTTTCTGTATAACTTCCTTATTTTTCACTTGAAAAAAGTTATTAGTATAGTTAAGTCTTCATTTTTTCCCCCCCGGAGTATATGATGGTCAGTGCTTCTTGTTAGTATGAGAGACTGGCAGGAATGAGGGTGTATTCGTCAGCACCTGATTGCAGCCATCTTATTACTACTCCTTGAGTCAATATTTGGAGGATATGTCCAGAGTCCAAAGGCTGCTAAGACTGCTTCCATACTGGCTGTTTACATTACTATAATATGACTATCAAGAAAATGAGGGGTTGGAGGCCTTACATAGTTAGTAGTGTGCTATAAGTTAGATGAGTAGAAATTACATCATTAATTAATCTTGGTGCTTGCAGTTACAAACCAAAGTTTAAAGTTGGGGTAATATGAAATTACAAAAATGTATTTAAACAAGTAGTTTAGGGAATTTATTTCCTGGACGTAAGTTTTAGTTTCTTTAAAAACTTTTCCTGTTTGAAATGGGATATATATTTTTAGCCGAAATGTATGTATGGGACAGTTTCCCACTCATCTTGGTTGACAGTACTTTCAGTGCTGCTTCCTTCTGAAGAATAGCCTTCTGTAAGCCTCACTTGTTCCTCCTATAGACTGGCAGAGGACACAAAACTACTGTTTGTGCATGGCTAAAGACCGTGGTAATTTTATAGCATCTTGGGCATTTTACATGCTCCACACCAGGCACCACTTGTATTTCCTCCTCTCCTCTTAAGGAGAGGGATGAAGGAGATACTTTGCAAGAGGCATGTTCTCGGGAGGAGGTCACCTCCACCGGAAAGGCAGAACATTTTTTAAGTCCATAGTTTTCTCCACAAAGTCTTTCCATCTTACCCTACTTTTATCTAAACTTTTGATGCTGGGACACTGTGTAGTAGAAAACGATTTCAGGAAGGCACTGGTGGCTCACATGTATAATCCTAGCATCAAGGCTAATGATCAACTAAAAAATAAAGCTATTTTATTTTCTTTTCCTTCTTTCCCAGGTGGCCTTCGAGGGGTAGCACGAGGTGGACTGGCAGGACTAACACTTACCAGCCTCTATGCACTGTATAACAACTGGGAGCACATGAAAGGCTCCTTGCTCCAACAGTCACTCTGAAGATTTTTGCCACCTTGGAAACGGAGGACACTTCAGTAATCTTTCAAATCAATTAAGTCAGTCTGGAGTTAAGTGCCCTCTTCTACCTACAACTACTTTCAAAAATTGGAGGTTGTGATTTGCTGTGGTGAAGATCATGAATGGTTGACCAGGACCGGCACTCCTTTCCCTTAATGAGCTGAAGCCAAAAATCCTTTGGTAGCTCACTCAGTAATGTGGTTCTCCTTTGGAGATGATCTTGGACCTGTCCTCTCTTCCTACCCTCTGAACCGGAAAACCACTCTCAGAATTCAGGTCCTGCTTATTGTCAATATTTTATCACCAAGTGTATTTAATCATCTGAAACTGTAATGCTGCCCATGTTCCAAATAAAGGGTGAGAATAGAACCAAAGTCATAACTCCAATCTAAACACAGTTGATATCTGTTTTAAAAAACATCTTTCCTAGATATAAGGTGAAAGTTAAGTTTCTCTTGAGCCAGGCACTGGTGGCTCATGCCTGTAATCCTAGCTACTCAGGAGGCTGAGATCTGAGGACAGTACAGAGTCACTCCTGGCAGGAGAGGCTGTGATCTTATCTCCAATAAACCATTCAGAAAACCAGAAGTGGCACTGTGGCTCAAGTGGTAGAGCGCTAGCCTTGCCTTGAGCTGAAGAGCTGAGGGACAGGGCCCAGGCCCAGAGTTCAAGCCCCACAACCAACAAAAAAATAAAATAAAAAATAAGTTACTCTTGGCTTATTTTTTTTCTTGCCTAAACCAGTTCAAAAGAAAATATATTTTCCATGTTTATACTGAATTGAAGGCTTACTGCTGCCATTAACAGCTAGGGTAAGGTTTTTTTTTCTCCAACAGCTGACATCAAGCAGCCTCAGGGTGTTTCAGGTTAATCATTATTGGAGCATGCTAAAACTTTGTCAACTTTTGTCATCCAGTAGACAGTAATTCACTCCTCTCTGGAAATAATTGTGGGCTGCAATTTTTCTAAGAAGACTTGTAAAGCTAAAGGCAAGCTATTTGAGTTTGTTTTCTTATCCAAAAGATGAAATTAATAAGTAAACTACACTGCAGAGTACACACAGAAACAGTAATACTAAGGAACTTGGAGCTGTGCAGTTGGAAAAAAGCACATACTCAGTAAAAGAAAATGGTGACATTTATGGTGTTAAGCTCCATAAACTTAAAAGTAGATTTGAATGAGTTTGGGGGGAGAAAGTTGAAATGGAAGTAATTACCTGTACTTTGCTAACTTAAGATTCATAAGTTATGCTGATAGGGAAATATACACATTTATATGTTTAAATTGTTTCATGGGTATGTTCTAACCAAAGGTTATCACGTACTTCCAAACAACGTATCAGTTTCATAAAGACACATACAACCATGGTGTGGCTGTTATGCTTTTAATGGAGAGGTATAAAATGCATCAATGCAAAAGAATGTTTCACATACTTGTCAGCATAGTGATTAATAATGTAAAATACAGTGTTTAAGAGCTCAAAAGAGAAACCACAAAATTTTCTGCAACCTAAGATGCTGGAAAGACTCAAGTTGATTTGAACCCACCACCTTTATGTTAGTAATTCTCAATGGTATGGGGGGAGGGGGGCGGGGGGGAGAAGAAAATAAAGGCTCTTTATAGCTGTGGTTCAAAGAGTTGTAGTAAACCTGTATGGCAGAGTCAACTGTGTCACTGAAGTATTTCCAGTAACATAGGCAGTTAGGAAGTTTGATAGTTTCAAAGCCCAAAAGGCAGTTGAGATCTTGCAGAGAACTTTTAAACATAAATCCCACTTCTCTCCTACAAAGAAACTTAAGGATATTGATAAAATGTCAACAGTTTTCATAAAGTTTCAATAAGCACCCCAAGGCACAAGTGTTTAAAACAGCCTGTTCACACAGTACTATTTGGGAGATTCAGGAACACTTGATTGCAGTGATAGGACTTCGACTTTATCCCCAGTTAAAAGCACCAGAGGTGTCAAGCGTAGATTCCATTTACACAGGATGCACCAGTAATCCTAGGGTAATGACTGATTCAAGTACTAGATTTCCAACTCTCACCCTTTTTCTCTTAGCGCTGGGATTCTTTTAAAGCATATAAGGTCTGTATATGATGACAGAAGCCAAGACTACCTTGAAAATGGTTCTGAAACAAGAGTCCTCAAACAGCTCAATGGATACTTTAATAACATTCAGAGAAAGGAATAAAGGCAAAATCTTCAGTAACTGCATTTCAAATAATGAAAAATTAATAGAAATAACATGTAGGCTAAAATGTCTGATAGTTAATGTCATTAAGAACAAAACCTACTAAATTGACAAGGTTAATTACTTGTGTGAACTATCCTATAAATTAATTGAACAGAATAATCACTTGGTTTTGGACCACTAGAAGAAAGCCCATAGCAAAAGAAGTATCTAAAGGGCAGTCAAAAGGTTTGAGAAGTTTACTGGCTTTAGGAGACACTAGCGCACCTTGATTATAAAATACTTCACTTCTAAAACTACAGTGTTTTTGTTGTTCTAGTAACCACTCAATCTGAGCTGTGGAAGCTGGTGAAAACCTGCCCACCAAGATGCTGTATTTCTAGTGGAAAGAGGTGGGTGTACTAAGTGAATACTTCAGTAAGAAAGACTGTCACCTCAGCATCAACAAATAGCCTTTCTTTTATAAAGCAACTCATAATTTGATGACTTCACTAGTTTAAAGTCAGACATAAAAGAAGTAAGCTCATTGATCAGACTAGAAATACAATGATTTGGCAAACTGCAGTCACTCAGCTCGTGGATGTGTGATAATCTGCAGAAAAGCTGTTCGACTTTCACAGTCCATTCCATCACATCTGGTTAAAAGAAAAAAAAACAAGTCCACAGATAAGTCACCTCACTAGAGAAATTCTCCCTACCTTAAAACACTTAGAATTATGATCCACCCAGGATTTGAAGTTACATCTTGAAAAGTCACTTTCATATATGCTAAGTTAGAACATTAAGTCCAGTGTTTGAAATTTTTAGGAGTTCCTCTCCTATCTACATAATAATAAACCTTAGTGAGCAAAGCATGACTTCATATGTGGGAAGAAACTACAATCTAATGCAGTAGTGACATTGTGCTCACCTGTAGAGGAGTTCGATATAGCCACTTTTCTTTATCAACTTTAAGCTGCATACAGGTGAAGAGATCACAAACTGCTGGGAGACCGTAACAGTCTGGGGGAAAGTTATGTTCCTCTTGTAGGGGTGAGTTAAGAAATACTTCCTGCACCAAGACAAAAAGGATGGGTTGCTTCAGGACAGCTGGACTAACAAGAGACTGGCTTAAATTCCCCTCCCAAATAGTTTGCCTAAAGAAAAAAAGCAAATATTCATCATTCTTATAACCAAGAACAAAGGCAACAATTGTTTATTTGAACCCCAAGTCTTCAATGTGGATAGCAGCAAAATAGGCCTTGTTTGTTTGTTTGCAGAAGAGGGGTGGGGAGGGCTGAGAAGTGCATCAATAAACTTGAACATTTGTAACCAAGTACCAAAATTACTTCCTCTGCCAATTAAGCTTGTAACATATTTAAGGATCTGGCAAGGTCAGCCAGAGCAATTCTGATGTGTGCTCACCTGGGCCTTCTTTCGAAGTAGCCACTTGTCTTCTCCTGTAGATAACTGGCTAAGGTTTCCCACCTTCTTGGCTGGCAAGACCCAATCAGCAGTGTTAAAGGGACTCCAGGAAGTAGTCATAGGGCTCTGAAGCTTTTGTTTGCCAGCTCTGTCCTCAGCACTAGACCTGGTGAGCCACTCTGATAAGGAACTATTCCATATGGCTTGGAAGGAATCGGAAACTCGGGCAGGAGCCAGGGCTCTGGGTGCCTTAGCTTGTTCTGTTACCTCTTTTCTGGAAGGACAGAGCCACACATTTAGGGATTCTTGGTGATTCCCAGGCTCAGGTCTGGCTTCCACAGGCATTCCATTTTTATCTTTCCCTTCTTTCTTCAGAAGCCACCTACACAGAGCTTCCTTCTCACAATTCTCATCACACACACACTCCGCAAAGCTTGTACAGGGCTCATTGGCTTTGCATACTTCCTCTACTTTATATGTGTCCTGATGGCTCTGAACAAGCCAATCCTCAGTAATGCTGAGGGTGGACAGTGTTTTCTTGGTCTCCAAGTGGTCATTCAGGCACTTCAGATTGCCTAGGTTTTCAATCTCCACACCTTTGGGCTGGTTACCCTGACAGTTGGTACAGGAGTCAGGCTTGACAAGCCAATCATTCACACTGTAGGGCTCCTGGAACACCTGGAACAAGAGCTTAATTTTTTCACTGGTTTCATGGCTGCCATTCTCAGGCTTCTCAAGCTTGCAAGGTTCCTGAGGAGTCACCAGCCAATCTGACAGGTCCATCTCATCTTGATCAAGGAGCACTAGATCTTCTGCCTTTTCACCTTCATTGATAGAACAGCTGTTACACTTCTGGGAACTTGGCTTTCCAGGACCTTCTTGTTGCTGACTCTTCAGGAGCCAGTTTTCTAAGCCCTTCAGATTACCCCAGATATTACTGAAGAAACTGCAGGCTCCGGCAGAAGTCTACATAAGATGAACACAACATTAGTCTACCAGAGTAATTATGATTGCCATTGTTTATACACTAACTTGCTCAGTATTTTCAAGTATGCAAAGCAAAGAGGTAAGAGATTTCTTTTTGATTATTAAATATGTATGACTACATAAATTACATTTTCTTAAGTTTTCAAGTACAAAATGAAAGCTAAGTATTATAGCTTATTTGACAAAATCAGAAAAAGACTAGCACCTCTACATAATGCCTTCATAAATAGACTGGACAACTCATTGAACAATTCTAAAAAAGTGCTCATGCCTCAGAAATTCAAAAGATTCAAAAGCAAAAGTATGTCAAGTTCAGAGAAGAAACAATCCCATAAATGAATCCTACTGTTAAAGAGGTTTAATGGCAAATAAATATCTGGTAGTGGGACTATCAAATGTTACAAACTTCCTAGAAAGTAAAATTGGCAAGATGTATCTAACCAAAGGGTTAGTAATTTACTCCTAAGGAAATAAGAATGAACATAGATAAGTAGCTCCTAAATGTTTTTTTTTTTTTTTTTTTGGTCGGTCATGGGGCTTGAACTCTGGGCCTGAGCGCTGTCCCTCAGCTCTTCAGCTCAAGGCTAGTGTTCTACCACTTGAGCTACAGCGCCACTTCCAGTTTTCTGGTGGTTTATTGGAGATAAGAGTCTCACGGTCTCTCCTGCCCGGGCTGGCTTTGAACCGCGATCCTCAGATCTCAGCCTCCTGAGTAGGTAGGATTACAGGCATGAGCCACCAGCGCCCGGCTGCTCCTAAATGTTTTAAGGGAGTTTTATGTCTAGAAAAACTGGAATCTAAGTTCTAGCCAAACAATGAAATGTTCTATAGAAAAAAAATATATTCAAGTTATAATTGTAGGAAAAATATGCACACCAAAGCAGAGCTTACAGAATTATTTTCAAAAAGTATATGTACAGAAAAAAGTATACATGTAAGGATTATGGGCTTGTATTATCTTTATAAATTATTTGCTAAGCATTCTAAAATAAAGAGATAGATGTTCCTTTTGTAATTCATGATGTTTCCAGCTGGGCACCAGTGGCTCATGCCTGTAATTCTAGCCACTCAGGAGGCTGAGATCTGAGGATCACAGTTCAAAGCCAGCCCTGGCAGGAAAGCCCGTGAGACTCTTATCTCCAATAAACCACCAGAAAACCAGAAGTGGTGCTATGGCTCAAGTGGTAGAGCGCTAGCCTTGAGCTGAAGGACAGTGCCCACACCCAGAGTTCAAGCCCCACATCCGAGACACGTGCATGACACACACACACACACACACACACACACACACACACACACACACACACACACACACACACACACGTTTCCAGATTAGTAACTACTATAGTATCTACATTACAAACAGTAATGCCAGCCATATACCTGATTGTTCGCCAAGGTCTGTTTTTGGGTGAGCCAGTCTTGAGGGTTAGTGCTGGGTGTGTAAGGATCGTGCCAGCCACTAGCAGGTTTGCTTCCAAGAAGCCATTCACTGAGAGGAAGAACAGTGCTACTGGATGCCAACTTCTGGAAGTCACATAAATTTTGCTGCTTAACCAGGTATTATTAAATGTTCATAAGAAAGTTCATCAGAAAAACAGGAGACACAGGTTCCTTGGTTGCTACTGACTGATTAGGTCACATGCCTTCCCTGAGCCTCAGTTCTTACAAACTCAAAATAAGGAATAAAAATCTCTAAGAGTTCTCAATTCAAATATCTAGATCTTTTTTATTCACCTTGATTTTGCAATAAGTCATCTCAGGGCTGGGAACATGGCTCAAGTGCTAGAGTACCTGCCTACCAAGCATAAAGCCCTTGAGTTCAAATACCAGGAACATTAAAACAAACAGCAACAAAATAAAACAAAAATCTTTGAATTAGAATGAGGATCCTCAAGAGAAAGCCAATACCAATAAGATAATAATTGATCATTTCCTATGAAATGATGGAGTGCCTTCTCTTATTTAACAACTAAATTTCTATTTCACTAAATGCTTTAAGCATTCACCTATATAAACTATCCCTGGCAGCTTTTTTACAGTGACTCAATTATCAGAACCAAAATGAGATTTTTACCTGCTCTGGCATTGAGACATAACTTCTTTTCTCTATGAAGGTCCCAAAATTTGATGAACTGGCATGAGCCATCAGGTGCTCAGGAATTTGCTATAAAATTAAAACCATTTAAGCATGTTTATGCCACTTTCCCACCAAAAAAGTGAAACTACAATTCTAAATTTGAAAAGGATTAAGCAAAGCATTACCATTTCACTAGGATATTGTTAATTCCTACAAAGGAATTATCCAATCTGAGAGTTCTATTATTATCATATAAGGACTGACACTAGGTTTGGTAGTACCACTACTTTTAACAAGACCCAAATGAGAAAAAGCCATAAAGTTTATAAAAAGAAAATGTGCAGTATTTAAAGAGATAAAAGACAAATTCAAAGATTACCAATGAGATAATAGTACAGTGTAAGAACTGCCAGCCTAATGCACTTATTAATGAGATGCTCATCGTAATCAGAACAGGAAGCTTCTGTAGGTTAGTGCTGCATAATAAAAATAACTTGGTGAACAGACCTGTGGGGCCAGAACCCAGAGAAGCACCCTATGTAACACCCAAGCTCAATCTACTCACAATGGTCTTAAGGGACCCAAAGGTGGTGATGGCTTGGCGTAGAGAAGTTGTGTCTGCTTCAAAGAGAAGGACAGAAGAATCTTCAGGTTTCAGGGTCAAACTGCCCAGTCTGGGTAAAAATACAAATAACTAAAATTTAATTTACAACACTTAATTAAAAGTTTTCAAGGAATATGTATAATTTTAAATGACTAGACTTTTCTAAGAAACTTAAAAGTAGATGGTTTACTCATTTATCAGAAAGTCTAAGTACATAAAACATGATCTTATCACAAGAAGAGAAATGTCAAGTTAAACCAACATATGAAAAGAATTGCAAATTGACATTCTTGTACTGAAGAAAAAAAGCCAGAAATAAAAACAATAAAAGGGGTCTTTACCTCTCCAGGCACACAGAGACTTGATTGGCTAGGTCTTTGTTTTGGGAACACTCCAGCTGGTGAATAAGACAATTGAACTGGCCCAATAACTACAAGAAAAAATCAGGCAGTTACAATGAAGTAACTAACTTAACAAACAGCATCTAGATTAAACTTTTAGGGGGTTGGGCACAGTGACTTGTGCCTGTATTCCCATCTACTCAGAAGCCAAGATCAGGAGGATTTCAATTCTAGGCCAGTCTAGGCAAAATAAGCAAGATTCCTCATATGAATCATAAAGTAGGTATGGTCGCTACATGGAAAGCCACAACAAGAGGATCACAGTCCAAGGCTGGGGGGAAAAAAAAGGGAGACCCTATCCAAAAAAAGCATAAAGGTCTAAAATGTGGTTCCAGTGGTAGCACACTGACTTGAGTTTAAAACCAGAGAGATTAAACTTTTATCTGATTTATATTAATGCTGCATTATGAAGAAGACAGCCTCTGGAAACCAGAGTCTATACTCAGACCAATTCCAGTGTGCAGCTGCTTACCCAGTGGAGCTCAGACCAATTCCAGTGTGCAGCTGCTTACCCAGTGGAGCTGCTGAGCCTGCTGCTGCAGCGTCTCCTCTTTAAGCTGATAGATGAGATCCGCCTGCTCACACAACCACACTTCTCGGCTCCGAAGGCATTCCAAGTGGCGACTGATGCAGCTGTGAATCTGGGCCTTCACCTAGAAAAACATTGGTTTCCCTGGTGTTAGATGCCTAAGGGAGGTTTCCTGCAAACAATAAGGTTTAGAAACTTTCATGGGTCAGATATCCTTCTGATTGTCCAATTACCTATGGGTGACTCTTCACAAAAAAGCACAGACTCAAAACTCTGCCCATAATTTCCAGCTTCAAGCCTGTAAGCTCACCCCACAAATTCCTATGATTTCTGGTTTTAAAACCTCAGCCATTGCTGGGCACCAGTGGCTCATACCTGTAATCCCAGCCACTTAGGAGGCTAAGAACTGAGGATCCCAGTTCAAAGCCAGCCTGGAAAAGGAAAAGTCCATGAGACTGTTATCTCCAATTAACCGCCAAAATAGCCAAAAATGGAGCTATGGCTCAAGTGACAGCATCCAAACCCTAAGTTCAAGCCCTAGGACTGGTGTATACATGCACACAGACACAGATACACACAGACACAACACACACACACACACTCTAGCCATCAAGGTATACTTAAGCTCTAAAATCTTTCTTCCTAAAAGGATTTGATTTTAAGTGTTCTAAAGTAATCAGGAGAAAATATAAAGATAGGCAAGAGATATTAATCCCTCTCATTTCCCATCTAATTTTAAAACATAGCTTCACAAGCTCACCAGCAAACAAAGACTGATGTCTGGCCTTTACCCCTTTTGTCATGTGTAAAATGAGCTGTCATTTACAGGAGGCCAACTTAGCAAAGCTATAATATAAGGCAATAGCTACAAGACCGTTAGGGTGGACACTGTATGTAACTTATAAACCAAACATTTATAGGGAGTAAACAGTGATCCACACATATTCTAAATACAGCAGCTATGAACCATTCATGAGCATCTACTTCATTATTGCATAAAACGTATTTCCTATGTAATCATGTTTTGTTTCAAATTCAAGTACTAGTTGTCCACTCAACAGAATACAACTGGAACTAACACACTTCAGGGGAGATTGACAGAACTATGCACATGTGGCTCCTCACACATCATGAGGACGAACTAAGTGGGGCTCCCTTCCTTGTTTTTCAGTAATAACAGGGCCTGATGCAGGGGCCACACAGGAGCAGTGAGAAATGCATGCTAAACAAAACTCTGTGGGGAAGTATAGAGTGCAGATGCTAGCATCTGCCTTATTTCCTCTTAAGATCAAAGGCACCAACATGCCAGGCAGCTGACTAGGGTTAAACAATTAAATACACCATATGGGTCAAACTTTTTAGTCTACACTAGGACGCCAAGTCCTTGGCCGAGTACTGCACAGTACTCTAAGATGAGTCCAAATGAAGACAAAAGCACATATCACACCTCTCGTAAGTTATCTTTAAGTTGCTGTTCAGCACGGAGAACTCCACCAATAGCAAGCTCCAAGTCCCTCCTTGCATCACTACACCTCAAAAGGGGTTCTTTGTTACTGGAGCAGCCACTCTGGTCCTGGAGGGTGTTCATTCTGCTCACTGTTCCTTAAAAAGAGAAAAGAAAGTCCAAATAGCAGGCTATTTATAACCCCAAACCACCTTTCCATCCACATTCAAATGATCATTCCACCAGTTCTCATTAATGACCTACCCAGGACCCTGCACACAGGACATTCAGTGTATAATGCTTCTTCCACCTCCTCTCCTCCACCTCTGCTCTTGCTATAAAATTCTATACATATGTTTTATAACACTTTAGATGTGAATATGTGTATCTGAAAAAAATATACTAACAACTGAATAAACAGGATACAGGTCTCCAAAATCATGACTAGACTATTAATGAGAATGCTAACCTTCTGAACTGAGAATATTGCTCATATCTAACCTATGTGAGGCCCTAGGATGGATCCCTAGGAGGGAAGGCGGAGAGGAAGGGAGGGAGCTGGGGGGAGGGGTGGAGAAGGGAGGAAATATAAGCGTCTGTTTATACACACATGAAGTCACATGAGGCAAGTATTTCTTTTTGCAGATTTAGAATAAAATGTGTGAAGAGATCTATAATTACTTTGAAAATAAGATACTAACCGATAATTTGATAAAGTTTAGAATGTTTGTTTAGAATTGCCATATGCCTAAATTTATTAGGAAAACTTTTTTAAATTAGGGAGAATACAAAACCTATGAAATTATCAAGAATATATATATAGCCATGTGTGCCAACCCTGGAAAAATGGGAGTCCACGAAGAGAGGATTCTTACATGTGGCACTGGCTACTTCTCCAAGAACCTTCTCTCATTCTGTCTGACAAGATCAGATGACATTCATACCCAAACACTAGACTAGCTTTCGACTAGAGGGACCTATTACTGATGCCACCCGCACATCAAATCTCACCAGCCCATGCACAAAACTTCCAGTGCCAAACAGATTTCTTCCATGCTTTTTATGGTTTTCTACTTTGTCAAGACATTCCAACCATTCCTTTATTCCTCACAGGTGACTCACCCTGTTGATAGGTGTCCTAGACTGCAATCTTACCCTGTTACTGTCAAAATTAAAACTTTTTTGATTTGTTTTTGGTTGGTCGTGGGGCTTGAACTCTGGGCTTGGGCACTGTCCCTGTGCTCTTCAGCTCAAGGCAAGCGCTCTACCGCTTGAGCCACAGCACCACTTCCGGTTTTCTAGTAGTTTATTGGAGATAAGAGTCTCAAGGACTTTCCTGCCCAGGCTGGCTTTGAACTGTGATCCTCAGATCTCAGCCTCCTGAGTAGCTAAGATTACAGGCGTGAGCCACCGGCGCCCGACTAAAGACATTACTTTTTTTTTTTTTGGTCAGTCATGGGGCCTGAACTCTGGGCCTGGGCGCTGTCCCTCAGCTCTTCAACTCAAGGTGAGTGCTCTACCACTTGAGCCACAGTGCCACTTCCAACTTTTTCTGTTTATGTGGTGCTGAGGAATCAAACCCAGGGCCTTATTCATGCAAGACAAGCACTGTACCACTGAGCCAACTTCCCAGCCCCAAAATTAAAACCTTTTATTAAGAGATTTTAAAAAAATGAATATAAGTCTGCCAGGGTATGCTTATGTCTATTATCTTAGCTATGCTGAAGGTAGAGATTGGAAGGATTGAGATTTGATATTAGCCCAGACAAAAAGTTAGCAAGATTCCATCTCAGCAAGGCAAGCCTCCTGTAATCCCAGCTATCTAAGATGCTATAGGGAGAAGGAAGTAGTAAGAGGCCAGTCCTGGACCAAAACCAAAGACCTTATTTTAAACTAATGCAAAAAAAGGGTGAGGAGCATGACTCAAGTAGTAAAGTACCTGCCTAGCAAGTCTAAGGCTCTGAGTTCAAACCCCAGTACCACCAAAAAATATAAGTCTGACAAAATAATGTCATGACATGCATATAAAGGTGCTTACAAAAGTGGATAGGAATAAATATAGAGGATTCTCTGGTAAGACCACACTTCAGACAGAGAGAAGAAATAGTAGAGTGAAAAGCTAGAAGGATACAATAAAAGAAGAGTTTCAGTAAAGCAATGTATAATATAGCTTTAGGAACTCGCTGGAAGAACAATTTGCTATTTATCTTGGATAGCTCAAGACAGGGCTTCTCAACATAAAGAAAAGCAAGCAATCATTGCAGCAGTCCACAACAATTTACTAAGACTTGTGTATAGTTTTTGGAAGCAGATTCTGCAACAGTTTCTACATAGCTGTTAAATTTTATTTTAAAAGGTAGATTTCTTGCTGGGTACCAGTGGCTCATGCCTATAATCCTAGCTACTCAGGAGGCTGAGATCTGAGGATTGAAGACCAAAGTCAGCCTGGGCAGGAACGTCCATGAGATTCTGACCTCCAATTAACTACCGGCCTCCCCCAAAGAAAACCGGAAGTGGCTCAAATGGTAGAGCACTCACCTTGACCTGAAGAGCTCAGGAACAGCACCCAGGCCCAGAGTTCAAGACCCATGACCAACCCCCACCCCCCAAAAAAGGTAATTACTTGCACTTGACTAAGAGCAACAAACCAGAAGAGAACATTTTTTTTTAGGCCTCCTTAAAATGTTTTTGTTATTTTAAAGGTGATGTACAGAGGGGTTACAGTTTTCTTCCTTCCTTCCTTCCTTCCTTCCTTCCTTCCTTCCTTCCTTCCTTCCTTCCTTCCTTCTTTAGAATGGAGATCTACCACTGAAAGAAAGCCCCATGTAACTCGTACTGTGCCAAATCTGAGGAAAACTTACATACTATTTGGCTGCATTTACCAAAAGTCACAGGAATAATTTGTTCTGTGATAAGACTCAAGTTTATTTGTGGGTAACATACCTCAGGGGAGAGGGTGCTCAAAAAAGGGAAATTGACCTCAAACCCATGAAAAACTTCTGCAGAAAGGAAGGCTGTTTGGCCTAGATAAGAAGTAACTACCCTCCCAGGACATGGTTACTACTCTCAAATATTTGGACACCTGATAAATGAAAGAATTAGGCTTGCTCAGAAGAGCTCTATTAGGCAAAAGGATTTCAGGAGACATTATCAGACCCATGAAGAACATTCTAACAGTCCCAAAGACAACCACCTCAGACAAAGCCCTCCAAATAGCTGGCTGACCATCTGAGACAAAAGGAAACCTGATTTATCTCCACTGTGTCTTCAAGATGAGGTTTAGAGCCCCCAGCATGGTGGGGGGTGAGGGGGAGGAAGTGCCAAGGACAAAAGTAGCAAGGGTCACACTCTTAGATGTAAACTGATGGACACCAGGCACTGGTGACTCACCCCTGTAATTCCTAGCTACATAGGAGGCCGAGATCTGAAGATCAAAGTTCAAAGCCAGCCCCAGGTAGGAACTTCAGTAAGACTTATTTCTAGCTAACCACCAGAAAAAAAGAAGTAGAGCTGTGCTTCAAAGTGGTAGAACACCATCCTTGAGCAAAAAGAAGCTTAGGGACAGCGCCCAGGCCTGAGTTCAGGCCCATTAACATCCAAAAATAAAATAAGAAAAGAAAGTGATGGGAGGACAGCTGAACAGCCTTTCTTTCAACCATCTCACAACAACAACAAAAAAGCCAGCAGCTTCAGAATTCAAGACACTCCAAAGTTCCCCTGCTACTTCTGCTTTTTTTTAGTTTCCCCACCGTGCCCCAAAAGATAACTTCCTCAATTCACTCTGTCAGGAGTTTCTGTGGAATTTTTCTGACCTTGGCAACAGCTGTGCTTACTCCACTGACTCTGTCACAAGTAAGTAGCCCACAGAACAGCAAGGGCATGTACACTCTGCACACATTGTAGGCACTTTGAAAAGCATCTGACGGCACAGGCAGATGTCAGCCAAAGGTGTGGAGAGCTGGGGTTACCTCATTACCCAGCCATACTCTGTGTCATGCAAAGTGTGCTTAGCTGTCTTTCAAATGCAGTAAACTCTTCAATGTGGTAAAGATCACTTGTATGGAATACCACCATGGCTGCCAAGGTCAAATCTAATAAAATTGTCAAAAACCCTAGAACACTGAACAGACAGGAGCTAACTGAATGTTAGGGCAGACTACTAAACAAATCTCTTCAAACACAAGTGCTGTATAACTGCCTAACCAGAGACTACAGCCAAAATAGTATGGTGGACTTTCCCCTTATCAGCTATGGGCAGAATGTACCACAATATTAAAAAATTTCAAAATGGATTCGTAGTGTTGCTTTTTAATCTCCAAGTATTATCCTTCAAAACAGTCATTTTGTTAGCGTATAGGTCTTTCTTTGGGGGGGGGAGGGGTAGAAGTCAGTTCTGGGGCTTGAACTCAGGGCCTCAACTCTTGCTTGGCTTTTTTGTTACCACTTGTCCTACACCTCTACCATGGAATTTCCTGCCCCCAGGGTGGCTTTGATCCTCAGAGCTCAGCCTCCTAAACAGGAATACACATGTGAGCCATCAGTACCCAGCTAGAATATTGAGTTTTTAAAGCCCAACTGTCAGCCACTAAGAAAACCAGTCTTTATGGCCACTCCCAGAATGTCTGGCCCTCTGGCTGGCTCAGTCTTCCCCTCCCAGTCAACAGTTGACTTCATTAGCCCAGGTACCAAGAAAGGAGGGAATGTCATTACTGGTACTGTGATAAAGAGGGAACGTTCAGATCTAAGATTAAGAAGACTACAAGGCCAGCTCAGAACATGAGTTTGAGCCAACTTTGGGAAGTAAAGAGACACACATAAGGGTAATAGCCCACGCAGTTGTTTTCAACAGTAACTGACTGTTTGCTTCAGGTCCAAGCATAGCAAACAAGCCAGCTAAGAGATGGCTGACAACCTGACCTCAGGCTATGTTTACTGCTTGCACCTCAGGTGCTCCTAACAACCTCTCTGATCTTTTTCCTCTGGAAAAAAAGAGACAATGATACTAGTATCAAAAGACAAAATCACATCAACTTGCAGATCTTAATTGGCTTTTTGCTTTAACTCTGTAATTAGGCAATATTCCATAAAAGACAAGTGTTTCAAAGTGCTGAGCAAAAGAGGTTGTTTTTAGAACAAGCTGAAGTTGTGTTCCTGTGAG